CCGACTGAACGGAACAGTAAGAATCCGGAAAGATAGGGACACTCGTCGTTGCCTCTTCGTCGTCTCTGCCTATTCTCCCACTGACTGCAGCTCAGATGATGTAAAAGATGAGTTTTACAGAAAGCTTTCGGACCTTCTCCGAAAAGCTAAGCGCTCGGATGTAGTATTAGTGGCCGGTGACTTTAATGCTCAAGTAGGTAAACTAAGCGATAGGGAAAGACACCTGGGTGGATCTTATAGCATCATGGCTCAAAGAACAGATAATGGCGACCGTCTGTTGCAGCTATGCTCAGATAATCGCCTGTTCCTTGCAAATACTAACTTTAAGCATAAGGAAAAACATCTTTTAACATGGCGACCCCCTAATTCGTCCCAACGTTGGACCCAAATAGATCACATCGCTATCAGCCACCGATGGAGGGGCTCGATAGAAGACTGTCGCTCATTCTGGAGCACATGCCTAGATTCAGATCATGCTCTAGTACGAGCGCGTATTTGCCTGCGTCTTACTGGACGTAGGAAAACCGCTGCAAGGAAACCTCTTAGGGGCCTACTTAATGATAGTCAAGCTAAGAGTATATTTCAGGAACAACTAGGAAAACAGTTAGGCAGCCATGTATGTGATGCCCACCCCGAGGCAGCATGGAATGATATCCGAAAAGCTGTGGAAACAGCAGTGATATCTGTTAGTAAGGTAAACCAGAAGGTTAGGGAGCAACACTGGATCTCAGCAACATCTATCGCACTGATAGATGCTCGGAAACTCATTCCACCTGGCTCTGAACATAGTGAAGAGCGGAGTCAGCTTAAGCGCAAACTGACAAGAAGTCTACGCAATGATCGCGAACAGTGGTGGGTAGCGAAAGCAAGAGAGATGGAAAAGGCAACGGCAATAGGTAATAGCAGACAATTGTTCAGACTCGTTAAGGAAACCGGAATAAGGAACCCGACTGTTAGCGAAACAATCTCAGAGAAAGATGGACATATTATTCATTCTCAATCCAGGAGATTGGATCGATGGGCAGAACACTTTAGGGATCAGTTCAACTGGCCTTCAGCCACACTTCGGTTTCCCACGATCTCCAGTCAACCTGAATGGCAAGTTAATGTAGGTCCTCCGTCTCTTTATGAAGTTGAAAAAGCCATAGGAAATCTGAAACGAGGGAGAGCAGCAGGCCCTGACAGGTTTACTCCTGAGATTTTTAAGGATGGTGGTCCAGTATTAGCAATGAGATTAACCGAGGTCTTAGGTAGAATTTGGGAACTGGACGTAATCCCATCTGACTGGTCTCAATCACTGATTGTGCCAGTTTATAAGAAAGGACAAAAGTCCTCTTGTGACAATCACAGAGGAATCAGTTTGACTAATATAGTGTCTAAAATATTAGCTTCAATAATACTTCGACGCCTAATCAAAGCTCGTGAAGAGCAGACTCGAGAAAATCAGGCTGGTTTTCGACCTGGACGTGGTTGTATAGATCAGATATTCACACTACATCAGGTTCTAGAACACAGACACACGTTTAGACGCCCCACAATGGTAGTATTTCTCGACCTTAAGGCGGCATTCGACTCTGTTGATCGTAAGGTTCTATGGCAGTGTTTGTCACTGAAAGGAGTACCAAAGAAGTACATTAACCTTATTCAGGCTCTCTACTCGAACACAACTGGTAGAGTGAGAGCTTATGGCGAACTGTCATCAGAATTGATTACCTCAAGTGGTGTTCGTCAGGGCTGTCCACTCTCCCCATTCTTGTTCAACTTTGTGGTCGACGTACTTTTAGAGATAACACTCTCCTCATCTAAATTTCGGGGGGTTGAACTTCTACCGGGAGGTTCACTTGTTGACTTAGAATATGCAGATGACATAGTTTTATTTGGTGAAGACGCTGACAAAATGCAGAGTCTTCTAACCACTCTAAGCAACAATGCAAGCATGTTCGGGATGCGATTCTCTCCCTCGAAATGCAAAAATGTTGCTTCAGGATTGGGTTACATCGACACCCGAACTAGTGATAGGGAGTGAAGTAGTTGAGTGTGTCGACCGCTTCACTTATCTTGGAAGTCTCATCAGCCCTTGTGGTCTGGTGTGTGACGAAATCTCAGCACGGATACAGAAGGCTCGACTAGCTTTTGCCAACTTGCGTCATTTATGGCGTAGGCGAGATATCCGTCTACCAACCAAAGGACGTGTTTACTGCGCAGCAGTTCGTTCCGTCCTACTTTATGGCTGTGAAACATGGCCGGTAAGAGTAGAGGATATTCGTAGGTTACTAGTATTTGATCATAGGTGTCTTCGAAGTATTGCTCGTATATCCTGGGACCACCGAGTAAGTAACGCAACTGTTAGGAAACGGGTACTAGGTAAGGATGGCAAATCAATTGATGAAGTAGTGAAACTTCATCAGCTGAGATGGCTGGGACACGTGTTACGTATGCCCAACGACCGACTGCCTCGACGTGCGATGTTCAGTGGTATAGGAGTAGGTTGGAAGAAAGCTAGGGGCGGCCAGACCAAAACATGGCTCAAGTCCATGAAGTCACTGACAAGTGGACTGAGTCATGTTGGTAGGTGTAGACTACCTGGTTGGGGACCGCGAGATGATAGCAACCGATGGTTAGAGACCCTGAATGACATGGCTCAAAATCGTTTGCAATGGCGCAGGTGCATCCACTCTCTATGTTCTCCCAAATTCTAGTTATCTGAATTCTTCATGCCCCTTTTTTTCCTCTTTCCAAATTTATTTCACTGGATTATACTCCTTAAATAACATCTCCAAACCCTAATCTTCCCGATTACTGCTTATACTCTTGCTACCTCTACCACTACGGGATTTGAATCGACCACTGCATCTCTGTGTGCTAATGTGGTATGGCAACTCGAACTGATGTACGTACGTACTAAGTTCTACGTTGTTACTGACTGACTGACATGTATTTCCCGACCAGATGCTGCCGTTTTCTTTTTGATTTATCTTTCAGCTTGTCATCACCCGGAGGATTATTACTAGTCTTGGTAACCTTTGGGACACTACAGTCCCATCCAATTTGGTATCGAACCAACACCACGTTGATTCTGGTGGGAGAGTAGTGTAGTGGCATTGGACCATAACCACACAATCCTCAAAGCTGAATACGAGATTACTCAGAAAATAGATATTCACTATTTAACGCGAAGAAATACCTAACGATGGAGAAGGCGCGACTAATGAATTGAATAGACTAGAGTTGATCGAACGGCATGGCTCGGCCATGCAGGCGTGGTCTCTGCTGAATGTTACCTTATATCTTCTTTTCATATTAAATATATTGTTCTTTCTCTAGCCTAACCTTGTTCTACATCATGTATTGGTAATTGATACGATACAGTGAGTTGGTGTAGTCGATGGTGTGACTTCCACGTAAGATCTTATAGATTAGGCAGTCATATCATGACAAATCTACAAATTTAGGATTAGGTCTATTATTAGAGCAGTACTAATATCATAGTAGACCATAAGTTCTACAAACTTCCTGCCTTCCGAACGTGTGTCAGAACTGCTCGATTGGAAAAGATAGAGAATGTTGAATGCGGGAACATCTGTTCGGTATAGAATGGATTGACATCGCGAGGATGGTCATTCTGTGAAACATTTCCTCATTCCAATTAAATATATTATTCTACCTCCCGTCCAACTGTATCTTTCAGAAGTGCTAAACATCTATCACCGATTGCCACGATAGGACGAGTCGAGCTTTTTGCACTAGGCTGTCAAATCATAGCAAATCTACAAATTCTGCATGAGGTTTATTTTACAAACAACTAAGATAAGTATGCTAATACCGAACTAGATCATAATTCTACAAACCTTCGTTGCCTTCAGTATAATTCAAGTTTTCTCTGATCGTTAAACTTTCTTTATTAGTTTCGAGCGGAACTTCATATCTCTCAGTATTGGCAGATATAAATTCACTACGGTGAACACCAGAGGAGTTACTTCTTTAATCCCAAGTGTTGAGCGGAAGATTTTTGCCCACATGTCGTGATTTTAGTTTTGTTAACACCTTGAAGTGTAACTCGGGAAAATACTCGGTTCAGCCTGGTTTTGTTTTGCGGAATGATACTAAGTTCAGCACAGACATCCGCCCAAGAGTTCAAACTAGAATTTCAGTCCCCAAGTTTTCGTCTGATCTGCTGTTTAGGCATGGTATCCGTTCGCACTCGTAATCTTCGACTCAAAGAATAAGTGAACCAAATTCCACATTAGGTATATACGGTTTATTCGTAAATCATAATGAATCAAACCAAATATATTATCTGGATAACCATTACGGGAGTTAAACAACAGAAGTTCAATTTTTAGGTTTACGGAGCAAAATTTCAGAGACATCAATTCTAGAACTGTGTGAAACTGAAAATGCCCGAAGTCAAATCTACAAATAAACAAATTGAAAAGTTCATAAAACATATGTTCAAAACGCAGTTAAGTTGGTGGTATTGAATATGTAAGTGGTTAACAAGCTAAATATTTTTAGTTAATTCTGTAACAACTATTCACAATGATTTATGCACAATCAGATCATAAGATTTATAGGAGCTCTCGAATTTGCATAGATTCACTCCCAACTGTCAGTTGCACGTCTCAACGCAATCTTCGTAAAGCATATTGACAATACGGATCTTACTAACATTATTCGCATTCATATGCGAGAATTATTATACCCCATACTTTTATGATCCATGTACCTTATAAAATATCAAACAAGCTGAGTAATCCACCACAGTGAAATACTGTATTTTCAGTAACACTTTGGTCATGCCTATAAACTATCATTCCGTATGTAACAGACTGCCGTTTGAGAACAAATTATTATCATCCAACTGAGTAGACTAGTCTGGTTGTTTTTATCATTATTCTTTCGCGAAAGTTTGGTGTGACGAATTGGTTATCCTAGTGGCATAAATTACAATGTCATGGATGCAATGCCCTTGCTCAGGGTCACTGTCTATTAGGATCTTTATGTTATTGTTAGTAGTGACCTCAGAACCATGGGCGACTGGGTAGCGGTCGCTTCTAGTTGCTTTCCGATTTTGCTGAGGAATCTTACGAGATTAAGGGAACCCCCATGTAGACATGTTCAGAAGATTATGCAAGATTACAGTGAGGACACAGGAATCAAATACCAAGTATCAGTTTGAAACACAAAGTGTATATTCTAGAATGAGTTCAACTACCTTACGAAAATAGTTTGATTGTCTTATGTTAGCGCGATGTTAATTACTGTATACTGGATCGTGATTTATTAATAGTATCTCATTTGTTTATGCAATTTATTACTAACAGTTTGGGCGTAGATTCTTATAGTATTGAATGATGAAAGCCTAAATGTCTACGTTCGACGTCTGATACTTATACTATACACTCGTGGATAAGTAAAACTTATTGAACACAGTCACAAATCTGGAACCGCTATCTAACATCCAGTTCGAATATTTAAAAAATATGGTTTTTTCTCTGTGACAAAGGATATAGGTTGTTTATTTAGTTTCTAGCATCGACATGGCCGAGGACCCAACATATTGACCATAAGGTTCTACAACCTTTGGCAGCCGACGCACGGCACTGTTCAGTAGTTTTTAAGTCGTGGCTAACGATAACTCCTAAATCTTGTATGTCTGGAAAACAGGAAGGTCATTGTTATTCAATGTATATAAATATGTACATGGGTGACCATTGTGCATCATAATGAACTTGGGAGTATTTTTCGGCAAATGCCGAATTTTAAACCATTTAGAAAGTTTCTCCAGGTCATTTTGCAGTTTCAAACTATTAACTTAATCATGTGTCGATGTCGACAGCAAATAAAAGAAAAGTTGCTTTCAATATGTTTGAAGTAATGATTATTATTTGCAGCACTAGAAATCGTTAGGATTAACTGTAAGTCACTTGACCTTCTGTTCTTAAAAAAGACGGCTGAGTATTGGCGGCTTTTGTGCTCTCTAGGTCATTTGTCGAACTTAAGGAGGGGATCTTTTCCATTTAAAGTATCTTAACACTGGGAAATACGTAATTCTAAATTGCTGGTAACATTCCCTATCGCAACAGTAACTATTCAGCTTGATAGACACAAGTAAACTAATTTTATGAATCGAAGTTATCTGTGGCGAAATAATTATTCTTCATCTCAATAAACTTTGACTCTTGTTGTTGTTATTAGTCAGTAATTAGGGGTTACTAGTTGTTTGTAAGGATAATTATTTATATTCTTTTTGTAAGGGAATATACATGTGACTGAACAACCACCTGTATATTTTTTAATATACTTAAAAGTATATATTTGGTAGATGATTTTGTACTTTATATACTGTGTAAACTAGTTAAGTCGTTTTCTCGGTTTAGCATCGGTAGATAGCGCAGGTTTTGTAAAATTAAAACCGATATATTTGTGATCTACGTCATAAAATTCAAATGCCGAAAAATTCCCACAACTTTGGAGATTTCCTAAAATAGTGAGACTGGGCTAAGTTTGAGTAATAAGGAAACCAACTGCGGATAACACATTAAACAAACTAGTTAGTGGGGCGAGATCAATTTATGGGTGGACTGACCAGATACCACATAATCATTCCTGGATTATTTTATTCGAAATCTATTTATACATTTGTCTAAAGAGCTTTTTGGCATTATAGCTAATGCTAGTTAATGATGATATTCTCAGAGTAACTTTAGCTTCGCTCAAGGGTCGCCCATCAATTATGGTCTCACCGAATAACTTCATATTTTTATCCATACAGATGTATTACCAAGTAAAACAGGTGTCAACCCACAAAAACGATAAAATCTAATGTTTTGAAACGTACAGACACGCTTTAGTGATTATAAAAATGAAAATCCACCTAAAATACGTATATCTGACTTTCTGCAAATACAAATTATCATTATTTTGCTATCACTTCACAATAATGTTTGTTTTCTTTTTCTTAAATTCTGAGTGAAGGAAACTACTGGTTAGATAAAATGGCTCGTCAGTCGCGTGGATCGGAATCTAAAAGAGTGGTATGATTTTTAAGTAAAACTTGATGTATCTAAAAAATCGATAGACAGCTGAATTGTTCACTTTGACATATGGTGCTCTTGTTGCTAATATTGTTAGAGATTTCGATACAGATGCAGAAATTAATGAGCAGTTGGACAAAATGTAAGCCGCCTAATTCACCTCATTAGATGCAATTTTCCCCAATTAGCGGATTTAACATTGGTCTAAAGTTGGTTGAAGACTACTTAGCGCGTGGGAATCCTGGTCGTTGTAACGATTTCAAAGAAACCGCTGAAGCAATCGTAAAAGTAAGCAAATAACAAGACAGTTCTCGCTTATTTATGAGTTTGTTCACACTTCATCTTGTGAGCATCTTAGACAAACAAGCTGATAAAGGCTTTAACTGATTTCACGACGTGAGAATTGACCCTATGTTGCAGAAAAGAATAGTTTTATACTTTATTGATGGATGAGATCTTTTAAGGTTGTTAGCATTGGCGAATAAAATCCTGACCGATAGATGATGATCGATTATTGTAACACCTATTCAACCATTAGTTATTCATGAGATCGAATGACCGACACTAACCATTGGATGAACTGGTACATCAAAGACAACCAGGCACCAGAACAAGCTTTGCATTCAAAAAGAATTACGATGTCACTTGAAACATCAAATGAGTTAGTGAATATAATTTTTTAGACCGCTTAATTTCTGATAAATTTGTAAACCGGGTTTAAATGTGGGTTGCAAGACTTATCAAAATATATGAGTCGCTGCAGAATATGAGAATGAGAGAGTGGACGAAGCACATTAGATAATAGCTCAAATTTTCTGCAATCAAGCTTCAGTTTCTTATGGTGCAAATTACACCTAGTTGGGATGTTGGCATTGAATTATCAATCATTAAAGCATTCTGTTAAGCGGACTATAATTTTATGAGATAAAATAGATAGTGACCAAATATTGGATTTCAACTTATGAAGTCATATGCATAAGTTGGAGGGCTAATAGTTTTCGTTAAAAAAACAGGAAAACCAAGGAGTCTGTAAATATATAGTTTATATTGTTTAATATTCAGATCGACACTAGTATACAAAATAGAATTTTCGCTATATATTCCGCTACTAAGACTGCTGTTATCTGTGACTGTTACACGTACTGGTTGCAGTTTTCCAAATTTTCTTTCCTTTTTTAGGGCTTCAAAATCTTTTTAGGCATAACTCCAACTATTTGCAAATTCAATTCAGCTGGCGATGAATTCAGTCTTGTTTTGGAGAATAATCCATTAACAGAATTTGTTGATCTTCCTGCTGAACATCAAAACCTGCTTTATTCCAACGTATTGGCTGGTGCGATACGTGGTGCTTTGCATAATGTAAGATATATACATGTGTTTATATATATATATATATAAGAATACGTTAAAATAAAGTTAGGGACTGCCAAACCATGACTTAAAATCGGTCCACGAGCAATATACTTATATATGGATTTCTTGGTTGGGGTCCGAGCAATCATTATAACCAGTGATTGGAGACGTTGAGTGATATAGCTCAAAATTAGCTGTCATGGCACAGATACGTTCACTCTTTATCTTCGCATTTGTTTTTTTAATTACATCTCATTGTGCTAATACAGTATGATGACTGGGATCGATGCACATCTGTACCGGGTTCCACGTTGCTTTCGATTGAATGACTAGTGAACTCTATTTCATGTGGGGCATTAGTTTTCAGTCTAAATGTAACACATTCCCTATTATGCTTAAGTGTCCTGAGTTTGATTCCGTTTAGGAGGCTCGGGTTCACATTATTGAGTAAATTTCTGGGCTTTAAACAAAATACTTGTTCATAAATCTGTAATTTACAGCGTAAGTATTTTTGGCCACCTATTTTTCTCCCTATGAATCTTGACAATTCGGCATGTACTGAAGTAATATACAGTGTGATAATCTTCATTTAGATCCCTTACTCATATGTTAGCATTAGTGACTGACACACTCGGTGTTTCTGCAGTAAGTTTCTTTTCCACTAACGTAGTTACCATATATGCAGATAAATTATTAACGAAAAGCAAACCGAAGCAATACAAATATCTATCTTATCAATATAGTTGATCGTAATACTAGATTAGAACAGTTACATGCCTTTAGTTTCAGTCGAAAAGTATGATGGAATATTATAAAAACAGTGAGTAGTGTTTGTGTTCATATATACGTGAGTTCATCTTTAGTGTATCGGAAGGAATTTAACTTCTTAAGTTTGGTTATCCTAATCACACATAAGTTACGTAAATCTAGTTGGACAGATCAATACTATTAAATTGGCTAGGTAGTTCTCTTTGATGCTTATCGTTTATAATATTTACAGTAATTCAGCTCAAGAGGTTATTTATTTATTTGAACACATAAATATTGGTACATGAGGGCACCAAATATATATGCGCCACACAAAACAATGAGAATTTGAAGAGAAGGAAAAAAAGCTAAGGAGCGTAAAAAAGGAACGATAACGAACGGATTAATGTAAGGTAGTGTAATAATAACAATAATGGGGGAAACAGAAACGTACAATCAGAAGAGATCTTTCAGGTAAGGAAGAAGCAACCACTTTTTATGAAGAAAGTAAAAGAAGGTTACAGCAGGATCGCCATTGGCTTCTATTCTGAGCCATATCTGATAACGTCTTTACTCGAGAACGTTTAGATAGAGCCGAATTTCCACCATAGGTGAGCTGCTGTATAAGTCGAAAAATAAGGATAGACAGAGTGAGAATAAAAGAGTGAATAAATGACGTAGTAAATAATAATAATAATAGTAACAACAATAGCAATAATAATAATAATAATGTGGATCATTTGATTGCTAATTGGAGCAAGAAAAGTATTTACCATAATTATCGACATCATATTTGGGTGTGGGCTGTGATACTGCCCGGGTGCCCAGACCGAAGCAGGTCAGCTCAACCACTTGATCTCAGGTTCGAGTCCCCTCATCTATAACGGTTTGGGAAACCAATTAGTAACCCTAACCCTCACACATAAAGATGACTCAAAGCTAAGTATACGAACGTGTACTGAATGATGCTACGTTCAATATTATGATGAATGTATTTTTTTCCATAAAATTGGGATATTGTTAATTAACATGCAACAAAAAACTTTGTTAACTGCATGTTGCAATTAAGAATTAAGTACAATACACTCCAGTGTTTTTTTTTAATTTTTTTAACTTTACTGATATTCTCTAAATTCAGCACTTCGTCTCTCATTATAAACACCCAATATCATTATTATACAAAATGCAAGGTCTCATGTAATATTACTATATGGTTAACTTTGTTACTTTAACAATTAGACATTAGAATTTTTAAAGCCCAATAGATTAGACTGGTTTTACGATTGTAGCACTGCATTTAATGATATGTTGAATCCTTAATTTATTAAATACTAACGTACGAAAAGTTTGCCTCCCTTATTCATCCATTTAAATAAATAAGTACACTCAATTTCCATCTACATTATGTAGTGGTTAGAAAACTAATACTCGATTGAGCTCAAAATAAAGTTGGTTTAACTTAACGAGTATCAAGTGGCGCGAAATCTAAATCTAAAGGATTACGGAGACTACTTCTAACCACCTAACATCAAAAACATAGGGCTTGGGATGTTGAGTTATCTTAGACTACTGACCATACTGCAACGTGAAAAATGCAATTTCGCTATCACTGAGGTCCAGTAAAACATGGTATTGATTTACTACTCAATAATTATTCATCATACATACATATCTCATCCCTATAGTAAGTTAATTAAGGCCCAATTCATTTCGTGATAATATTTTCGATACTGAACAGTAGTATGTTCAAATGCCTCAGGAAGCAGTTCACCTAAGGATAAGGATATGCCTTTCTGATGAATATCAATTAGCACACAACCTGGGCCTTGAAAGCTTTTAATTTATTTTCATAGTTTATTTTTATAATTTAATTTTTATGTTTTATGCACAATCTTATTTAAGGTACAACTTGAAGTTGAGGCTCGATTTGTTCAAGATCAATTACGTGGTGATCAAATCAATGAGATACGCGTAAAATTTATTCGTCGTATAGAAGAAATTATTCAAGGAGATGATTAATTCATCATGTTTATTTTAATATTTCCAGTTCAATTTTATAAATATATTCACTGAATGTATTTTTACGTTACATAACTTTTTCTATGAATTTATTCTTCGATAATAATAATAATAAATGCATTTTCTGTAATAAACTTAGGAAAAATCTATTGGCTGTGCGCAAATAAATACCATTCCTATTTTCCAAAGTGTTTTTACTTAGATTTTTCAAACTACTGAAATATATATTAGTAGGTGAATATTTTGATTATTTTAATATTTTCTAGCTATGGCTTTAAATCCACAGTATTCACATACTACTACACCAATTATAGAAGCTTGGTTAATTAAAGCTCTTCGTCTTGTACATTCAAAAAAGTCTAGTGATCGTGATAAACTGCGTAAATTTTATAAAGAAGCTTGTGAAAATGAAGCACAAGTTGTACATATGACTATTGCTGAAGCTCTACGTGAACCTCGGGAGTCTATTACTACAAATTATGAATCAAATGATGTAAGTTGCTTACAACTTTTGATCATATTTAAATACTAATTTTTCTGTGCTAATTATTCGTCTATATATTCATAATATGTCGATTTCACTTGCGCTACAGTGATATGGACATCAAGGTTATTATCTTAAAGAGAGATAGAGCTCTCTTCAAGATAATATACGAAACTAAATGTATCGAAGTTATTACTTCAGTGAATTATCCTTATTTTATCGATGTCTACTAATATTTTGGGAAATCTTCCATTTTTCTAACAATTTTCTTTAAAAAATCACCTGTTTATGTAATTTATTATATCTTCAACTTCCCCTCATATTTATATATCCTAATCTAGCGAGATACATCCACTTCTACTCATTCTATGCAACGAACTCGTGTAGCACAATCCGTGAATGATCCAAGCCAATCTACGTCTTCGTCCATTTGTACAACAACCACTAATAATATAGTTACGAATGATTCAATGAATACGAATAGCAGTGGAACTTCAATGTTTACTACTACATCCACCTCTAATCCTGATCGAATTATAAGTTCCACTACTACTGCTACCACTAATAATAATATTACTTCTGGCATACCTACTTCACCAGTGATTGGAACTACCACGCATTCTTCAAATTCAACTACAAATCGTGCAAATAAACGTAATAAAGTGGCATTTTTCAATATTTTTGATGTTGCTTCATCGACACCCAATAGCAGTTCCATATCGAATACTCCAGTAGTATCGAAAAACAATACAGCACAACGATCTTTAAGCCAGTTAGATAATACATTATCAATCGAGTCAGTTGGTATGTTGTAATCTTGAAGTGTATTTCATCTTTTTTTCTTTTAATTTTTCATTATTGAATTAATGTTTATTGATTTCAATGGTAGTCTTTGTTGTTGATGTGGTGACGAATATTTATAGCGTAGAATGAGAATTTTGAAGGTGCTTTGCTATTCTCTGAGCTTCATGGGTTAGCTATGAAGTTTTTATTGTCTTTCTTGATAACATATATCAGTAAATGTTTTAAAAATTCTCTATCATGAAAATTCTAATTCACTGTAAGGAATTTATCGTATTTGATGAGAAATTTAAAGAATTTTTGCTCGATCTTGTATTGAATCTCTCGCTTGTCTGTAGAGTACTGTATCGGTGTGATACAACCGTTTTAGATTAGCGTCGTTTATGTTTAGTTGTATAGTATAGTCTTATTGTTTCTTGGAATCCGTCAAAAACACTAAGGAGGTAAGAATTGTTTTTTTACTACTGTTGCAGCTCTCTTCAAGATGTAAAAGTTAGTGTACATTACTTAAAAATTGGTAGCCACTTATTTTTTTTAGAAACTAATTCCTATCTTATCTAGTCTCACACCATGAACGGTGAAGTATTTTTGGTAACGATCGTCAATAGAGGAGGGACTTATTTCTATATTTAATTACCAAGTATGATTTTATTGGTTTCATTACATGGAGGAATGATGGTCTCATTATATTTTCTTTTAGACAATGTCATCGCAGTAGTATACAAAAGTAACATTTAAATATATCTCTGAAAGTAGTAAACTAGTCAATTCTCTTGAAGTGTAGATAAAGCACTCTGGTTAAATCACTAGTCTAAACGTCGTTTCACCTACTTTCTTTTGGTCGGCTGGATAATATCATCAGATTTCATATGCACAAGAAAGATATAACTCTAAGTTGAATAGAGAAACTTTATTTAATAAATGAATTAAATGAGTTTCACTTACAATAAGATTACACAATTGTTTTATCAGACCTTTCTGATTGAAGGGTGAAATTTTCAGTTATGGTGGGTTTTAAGCTCAAAATGCTTTCCACTTATCTCCATGTCGACAATAACCAGGTGCTAAAAGTGGTCCTCTCTTTAGACGTAAGGTTGTCAAAGGTAGTTGGCAGGAAATTCTGTACCTAGGTTCCGTGCTAACTGGAACTCGTCAATAGGACATACTTGCAATCTTGGGGGAACTGGTGCTCTCGGACAGGTTCGAGCTCGTGTCGCCGAGTTTTACAATGTGAGATATTACTAGTAAGCTATTTGTACGGCGAATGGCCTGTTGTTTGACTGAGATATTTACAACTGATTAACCAAAGAGTAGTAAGCGGCCAATGTCGTATTTATATATTCCTCGAGCACTGTTTGTATTCTATCGAATACATCGCATCGACTACTAGCAGTAAAAAAAGGACTAGGCAAACATAAAATTGGTCACTCACTACTCAGTAATCAATCAGTTGTAAACAACGTGTTCTCGTACAAAAAATATGATTTAAACCCTACTATAAAAACTTGTATCTAGTTATTCAATCACATCAATTTAATGTAAAAAAGTACGTACTTGTGTGTTTTCATAACACATGTATGTATTTAACTGTTTCTAGATTTTAGTAATACAACAATTCAACTATGTAATATTTCTTCAGTAAATGATAATAATCAAGAAATAACAATGGATTCAGTGATAGACAACACTGGAACAACTAATAACATTTCAATACATTCTAATTTATCTAATCCTATTATAGATCTTACATTTACAGATAATGAAACCGCGTCGATTTCGTCTTCCTTGGCTATCAATACCAGCACGTCTGCTAATACTGTTGCTGTTACTCTGCCTTTAAGTGAAGATAAACAAATGGCCACTGGGAAAGTGATGAATCCTCCTACTGTGAACACTACTACTACTACTAGTACCATTATTACTACTCCAACTACTTATATTCCTACAGTGTCATCAGTATCACCGCAGCCACCATCACTTTCTTCTCCTGTTGTTACGGTTATTAATGCGTTGACAAAATCAAGTCAAGATAATTCTAGTTTTAATACTACTACTACTAATAATAATGCACGTTTATTGGCTGCAAGTCTAGTCGCAGATCTTGTATGTCGTCTATGTGGTCGTCTGTCACAACAACCACAATTAGAACCGGACAATAAAACACTGAATGCAAATGTACTAGTAGAGTGCATCAAATGTGGTTCATTATATCATCAATTATGTCATCAACCATTAATATTAATGTCAACACCCAAACAACAATGGTTATGTATAAATTGTTCGATCACTACCACTACTAATACAACTATTTTCAATCCTTCATTTGTATCATCAGTATCTGCGTTAACATCAATATCTTGCACAGCTACATCATCTTCGAATTCTTTGCTTACTACTTTAGCAATATCAGCTAATTCAACATGTGTTAATAGCATGTCAACTGATCCTATGATACCGTGTAGTGTAATACAATCTGATGGGGATATTTTATCAAAAGATGTAACAATGATTACAGATAATAATAATAGTAATAATAACAATAATAATAATAATGAGTATTCGTTCTCATCATCAACACATCATTCATCTGTAGTTTTATCTAATCCAGTTCAATTTCAGTCTCGAGGAACAACTTCAACTGGTATAACACCACAAACATCATCATTACCAGTGTGTACTACTACTACTTCTACTACTAATAATAATAATTCTGTTACTACCGTTAGTTTAACTACATCTGCAAGTACAGTCAATGTTGGTGCACGTAAACGCAAACCGGCATTCACAAGTTCATTATCTGGTCTACCTCGTAAATTAAAAGATGATTACAATTGATTTACTATCCTTCTTTTTTTTTATTCTTTAGAATTTAAATTTGGAGAAATGAATATTAAGTTTAAATTTTACAAAATAATGTACAATTACTTTCTTTTCTTTTTAATGTTATGAAATACAATAAGACAATTGTTTAATATTCTGCGTTTATTTTTCTTCATTGTCGGTGCTAAAGATTGCAATTGATCAGTCACTTTTTGGCATATGTGTATCCTGAGTAGATCATCTTCATATTGCCATCAATCACAAACAGGTTTGAGCAGAAATAGAAGTGGCTGGGAAAGAAGACTCAATCCTTTACAACTGAACTATGGTTGATTCTTGCTGCACAACCCAGTTTAATGTTGAATTGTCACAACTGTGTCCGTGTCGTCCCATGATATCTTCATATCCGATGTTTTCCATTCCGGCTTTTGCGTTTACGCTTCCCATTAGGATGGTAGGGTCCTTTCCTGGGCAGTTCTCTACAAGCAACTGCGGCCCCTCATAAAACTGGTCTTTATCGTTAACATTGACAACATTGGTGGGTGTGTAACACTGATAGCATTTATTGTAATTCCCTCCTTTATTTTGAAGGATGCTTTGATGATCCTGGGTCCATGAGATTTCCATCCTATACGTGCTTTCCGGGCTTCTCTGATGCTTCACAGCAACTCCCTGTGTGTGCGGATCATTTTCCTTGTGACCAGAGTACAACAGCATCTCTCGCTAATCTAACCTTTTCCGTCCAGCTTAAGTCCAATGGGTTCCACTGATTCCGAGCACCATCAAGTTATATCTTCTCTTTTGCACAGCTATTTGGTTATTCCACCCGGTCTCCCACATCGTTCGGACATTCCATGTACCTCTATATGAGTTGCTGGTCTGGTTGTTAGAAGGAGTATCGACCTTGTGACTTCCGAAGAATCTCGTCTTTCGCCATGAGGCATCATGATTCTTTGGAATGGAGAACCTTCAGAGTTTAAATGGTTTGAAATGTTTTTTCTGGTTAGCGTTTTTTAAGCAAGGTTGACTTCTACGGGGTGGGGTTGTTGATCCCATGCTCAACATTCTTCCTTTACCCTGGCTTGGGATCGTTAGTAACCCTAGAAGAGTTACAGGCGGTGTTTCATAATTACATTGGTTAAACCATTATGATGTATGATGCTCTAATCAAGTCACTTTGAGTTATTGACTGACTTTCGGCTAAACAGTGCTCAGCTTCGAACCTTAGTCCATCTGTTTTGCCCCTAGCATCTGTGTAGTATCACTAGTCATAAAATAGTGGGGCTTAAAGCTGAACATATATGTCTTTACCTCATTATAAGTCAACGGATAATCCTTGTTAGAAATTGTTATTCCTTCCGTTTGAACTCAACCCATAGGAACTTGTGTTGGTTAGATATCTAGAATTAGAGGATATAGTTATATTGTATATAGATTTATTTTTCCATCCGTTCAATATTTAATATCCTATTCATCTTATGCTTTTTTCCATCACTGATGTTTATATGAGCAGTGACAGCAAATACAAATTAAATGGTCATACAGGATGTTGCAAGTGATCTAGTAATTTGTCTATAGATAAAGCGTTTTTACCAAATGAAATTCCTATTTGAATGTTTGTTTGGAGACTTGAGTTATATGATCTACATAACGTACAGAATTTAACAAAACAACCACTGAAAACTAAGATATATGGGATAGTTTCTTCAGCCTAGTATGGCACTGCTCAGCAATGAACAACAACTATTCCAACGGCTTGTATAACTCAAAAAGTTTCGTGTCAAGCCCTTGGCCTTTAGACCGTTAGGGTGGCATCTTGTAGTGGCTGGTCCTCTGTCGAGTTTACATAGCTTATTTTAGCTTCTTGACAAACCAACTTATCCATTCTCCTCGAGCTACATTTTGATCATGTTAATTATTCACTTATCAACCTTGATTGTTTTTATGTAAGCGTGTGTTCCTTTCTCATCTCACTCTCACATGTCTGTAACTTATTTTTTATCTGACTATAAATATCGATTCATGCTTGGTTACATTGAGTTGGTTCATACATCTTCACCACGCGCTTTGTTTATTCGACTGTTTGTCTGGATCAACGATTGTATTGAAATACACGCATTCGAAATTCATTCTCGTGCTTGACTTATTTAATTCCATTAAGTCGATGATTATATACGAGAATAGTCAGGATGTGTATTTCAACAGCAATTATTTGATCGCAATCAGAAACGATCCAAATGGAGTCAGATTTAGGGCCACTAAAGTGGTGAGCCCGTCGACAACAACCTCCAATCTAATTGGCATAAAAAATAAAGGGCCACTAAGATGTAACAGCTTACATTCCTAGCATTAAGAAATTCGTGTTACTGAATAACTGCTTCACACCTAACACAATTGAACTCCACTGGTCACGGCTTTTCATTAAAACTCCTGGGATTAACTCTCGAAATTATTCACTAGTTAGAAGCAATGATTAACTTGTTTCAACCATTTTGGATATAAGGCAGTTACCCATCAACAAAGCTGGAAGATAGTTACATGTATATTCTACATTATTTTAAGAAGATAATCTTTATCACAAACATACATCAATTGGGATTGCATGTAAAATTGTAAAATACCGGATAGGTGGTTTCTTTTTCTTGTTAAGAACTCTTTTTTATTAATGGGCATCCATGACTTTGGACATGCCTGAATCTATTACTGAAGAATTTTACTTCTGGATAAAACATCATTTTAATGTTTCCTAATTTTCTATAATTCTTCAATCGATATCAATTCATTATTTGAAAAAAAGTGTCTTCTTTGTTTTTGCGAAAATCTGCCTGGTTGAAATAAACGTCTTGAAAATTTATTACCCTTAAATTATGTAATTTAATTGACATCAGTCGTAATACCATAATAATAATATAATTACAATTAATTGATCACTGGGTGGTGATCAATGTCTTGCTTGTCTAGTCCTTATTAGTGCAGATCGAATGCTATCGATCATGTTGCAATGTGGCCACCAGTCTAGGTGACTCGACACTGCGGGCACTATGTATTGAGATTTAGATGGTGGTTGGAGGTAGTCAACAGGAAACCCTGGACCCGGGCTGTGACTAACCTCCTGTAGGACTGAGATAGCTCAGTGGTAACGTCTCTGACTGTGAAGCTGGGTGACACGAGACCGAATCTACCAGGGAGCACCAGTTCCCTCAAGATTACAGGTAAACCTTGCTGACGAGTGCCAAATAGCACGAAACCCGGGTCCAGGGTTTCCTGTTGACTACCTCCAACCACCATCTAAATAATAATATAATTGAAATAGGTTTATTGTCTGGGTACTTTTATAGTTTTCACAGATAACCAGAATGACACATTATTAGGTGACCATGTATATAACAATGATACGGACAAACCTAATTGGGAAAATTAACGATTTTTTTGCCAGGTATTTTTTGTTCATCATCATGATAACAGGCTTTTGTTATCATCCTATTGACTTGAAGTTAAATACTATTCAGCATAAGTTGTAAATAGATTCCATTTTATCAAATTATAAATGTGCATAGTATTGGTTCTTTAAATTTGAGAATATTCATGGAATAAAATAGATTTCCTTAAATATGTCTACAAATGATTATTACTACTACTTCTTACGTCCGTTACCCGTCATGGAGCAGCATAGACCGCTCACCAGCATTCTCCATTCAAATCTGTTCTCGGTAGCCATTTCCAGTTGCTAATCATCCTTTCCATGTGTACTTCCAATTTCTTTGGTCTTTCCGTTTCCCTTCAGGTTTCCGAGTTGGCACTTACCTTGTTATGCAGTCTGATGATTTTCACAATGTATGTGCTATCCATTTCCAACATCTTTTTCTAATTCCTTCTCCAGTTGGAAGCAGGTTTGTTCTCTCCGTCTATAAATGACCTACTATTCTTTTCAATTTAGTGAACTTAATCAGTTGCCGGATTTTTCTTTTGTAAAAAAAACTTGTTAAAGTGCTTTGTGCTGAGAATCATATATTGTACCGAAAATAAAATATTGAATAAACTCACAATATTAGTAATAATTCTAATACTGATACTAATTCTACTACTAATAATAACGGAGGGCTGAACCCAGCACTCTCAGATCGCATGATAAGCGTTTACTCTTTAAACTATAGTGACTTTGCTTCGTTCAATCGCTTTTGTAACCGTTATTATATAAATCCCAAGGGTGCTTGAAATCAGAAGGCAGTAAGAAGCGCGAACTACAGTTTATTAGCGGATAGCACGGATAACAAAGCTGTAGGCGCATCGAGCGAATTCGAAACAGAGGCGAATGTGTGTGTGCGAGTAAATACGGAGGTAAATTTATAGTCAAATCGAATAAGGTGCAGTAGGCAAGGCAAATGTTAATAAGATTTCAATAATGCAAAGAGAAAATCAATTTTATCAGAATCATGTGGTATTTTTGCCCAATACATTTCGAACAATCATGTCACACATATACTTGTTAAGAACATTTATATATATGAGAATTAAAAGGTCAACTAGACAGCTTAAAGGTAAGCCATAACAAAGAAAGAAAATAATATTAAAGTACACAAAAAGTGTGATTACCACTCTGGATAATAAATCAGTATTACCAGGGTAAGTTAAGTGTAAGGACAAATTGTTTTTGAACACATAAAGGGGGTTTCAATTTCCGCATATTTAAGATATTAACATTTAAGCTAGAGTCTGTCATATGATCAAGCGTACATGTTTATACAGATATGGTAGTGATCAGTCAGTCCGTAAAAACGTAGAACTTCGTGCGTACGCACTTCAGTTCGAGTTACCATTTACACATTAACATAGAGATATGGTAGTGATCATAATAGTACAAAGAAGTATGCAAATTGTTACTGTTCTAATAAGATTGTCTTTTAAGTAAGTCAATAAAAGAGCTTAACCAAAATTTAACCATAATCGAAATTGATTGTAAAAGAGTTGCTATAATATCAATGAACCGGTATTCAGTGGTTCGTATGTTTTACTTC